AGTCACACCTGAAAAATAGTGACATATGTGTGGTATGAGAGACAAGTGCATAGATATAAATAAATCCAAGGATTTGGAAGAAAGTGGGGTAGAAAACACCTGACCCCATTAAGATATACCGGCTGTGTCAATATTTCTATTAATTCTTGATTTTTAAAATGTCAAGTAAGAAAGTGAAGGAAAACCAGAACCAGGGGTCACAGTTTAAGAATACAGTTTAAGAATAGGCTGAGTTGAAGAGAAACTCCTTCACTCAGAGTGGTGAGCCTGTCAAATTCTGGGCCACAGAAAACAGTTGAGGCCAAAGCATTGACTGCTTTCAAGGAGGAGTTGAATGTTGCTCTTTGGTCTAAAGAGATCAAAGGATAAGAGGAGAATGTGGCAAAAGGGAGTGCATTGAATGACCAGCCATCATCATATTGTAAAGTGCAGCAGACTTGAAGGGCTGCATGGCCTACTCCTGCTTCAGTTTTCTATGGTTCTTTATAATAGGACACCTGATTTCATACTTAATTGAAAGAATGCCATTCTGTTAACAAAGTAAAAGGATGAAGCACAACACATTAAACGTTTACAATGCATTTTTTTATTGGCAGTGGAAAATAATTGTTTCAGTTCTAGTGTCCACTGGAACCAGGCAACAAATAATACTGTGACAAAAGAAACAAAAGATTTGGATATACTGTACAAAACAAGAGCATTTCAAGTGCAAATACCACAATGTTGTGTTCTCAGTCGGTTACTGAAACTTGCAAACAATTATATTTTATTCCCTTAAGCAACAGAAAGGAAGACCACATTTCGGACACAGATGAACATGTCTTTCCAAGTGTGCAACAACTCCAGCTCAAAACTATTAAGCTGGTTTGAATTCAGGATTGTCTTTCTCCCCAAAATTTCAAACATTGGTAGTTCTTAAAAGGATACAGGAATTATTCATTATGTACAGTACTGACTGTCCACCATCAAAAATACGCTATTAATTGCTCCCCATTATCACTCGTTAATGGATAAAGTGTATAATGCGAGTGGAATCCTCGAAAGGTTTAATGCAATATCCATTGATGCCAGAGTCATAACCATTCCAGGAAAAAATAACAATCACATTTGTGTTTTAAGAACAGGATAACGTCCAAGGCTGCTCGTGAAATAGAAGGTTATAATACAGTCCAGAACAAACAGCACGTTAGTGTACAACTTAGATATTACTTACCAGGAATAATTTTAAAATGCTGATTTTTTTTTCCAAAATCAGTTCCACATTTTTTTTTAAATCACAAGGCAAGACCACTATTACTTTGGGGAGAAATGCATTTCATAAAATCGAGTTATCTTAACTTCTGAATGACTGACAACGAATATCAGTAACTCAAAAATTATAATACATAATCAACCTTCAGAATTATTCTGACCCAAACCAAAAGTGCACTGCATACAAATACATTTCATTCACTATAAATTAATTATTAAGATTAGATTTACAATATCAGAGCCAGTTTATTGTCCTTTTTGGACCACAATACAAACCAATTGTTAATTAAAACTAAATTCACCTCCCTTCTGACAGCAAAACTTGTTAGTTGATTAATCGGGTCTTCATGGCAGTCTGCATTAGACAGCTCAGAGAACACATTAGCAAAATAAAACAAGTTGATAATGGCATACATATTCCTCAAATGTAGATGTATTAATATATTTGATCCAACATTTAAGATACTTGCGTGCAAAGAAATTATTTTCTGATGAGTGTCCAGCTGTTCACCAGATTTATAACTAAATATTTTGCTGAAGCACACAGCTTATACATCACTTCATGTTCAGTAAATTCAGTTGAATTTGCAAAACTTTAAACATATTACCTCTATGTGGACATGTTCCACCATTTATTAAACAGTGTCTCCTGTTCAGCCATTTTCCAACATGGTATCTGTCACATTATAAATTAAACCAACCAGGCAATGTTGGTAAAGAGACTATTAATGGAGTTTTCAATGCTAGCTATTCTTGGCTGTTTATCTCTAATATAAACAGTGTTTCTTTTGTTTCTCTTTTTGAATTGTTAAAGATTTATGTGATGTGATGACTATCATTTATTATTCCAGCCATCCAACACTTGCTACAAGAGCGACAACTTATAAATGTACACACTTCACAAATAAATTTCTCTTCCATAAAACCAAAGCAAGCTACAAGGTTGGAGTTATGTCGAATAAGTGCCCTATCTCATAAAGCAGCAAGGTGAACACTGATTATATATTTGTTACTTAGAGAAGGTGGAATGTAAGTACGTAAGGAAATGGTGTGCAGCAGCAAAGTGTTGAACATGTATCTACAAAGCACAATACCACAGCAGCAGGAAGTTGTCATACCTCTAAGATCAGAAGCTTTGGATGCAGGAGCAAAGATGATATTTGTGTTACATAAAACTACACAAAATTAGCCTTTTTCTGTCAAGCCATCAACAGGCCAGTCACACCATGATTTACGGGGGTCATTCAGCCAGACAGTATAGGTGAGTCAAGCCCTTGGAAAATTAGATAAGTTCAGCCAATTATGCAGTTTCAGCTGTTTTACTGGCCCTTGATCCAACTTCTACAGAGTTTACATTCTTTTTAATGTTTATTTTTCTGGTCGTCATGACCAGGTATTTTGTGATATTGTCATAAGCTGCATCATCACATGCTCATTAGATGACAAGGTCCCTAAATAAAATGTCAGCACATCTTTATTCCGTCCAATAAGCTGTATGTAATCACCCAGTAAAAATAATTAGTGTGCTACAGAGGAAGTGGTGGAGGCTGGTAGAATTACAACATTTAAAAGGCGTATGGATGGGTATATGAATAGGAAGGGCTTAGAGGTCTACGGGCCAGATGCTGGCAAATGGGACTAGATTAATTTAGGATATCTGGTCAGCATGGAAGAGGTGGACAAAAGGGTCTATTTCCATGCTGTACAGTTCTATGACTCGGTGATGTTTGAATTTGTGTGCACCAACTTTTATTTTTACTGTGGTGCCATGAAATGAGGAAGACCTCAAAACATTCTTTGGAATTCTCCAAATTTACTAACAAATCAAATCAAGATATTAAAGACATTATCAAAGTGCATATATATTTGAAAGTCTTGCTTGTAGCTCTCATGACACTCTGTTTTTATTCCCTTGGGTGACATAACAAAACATCCAGATATTGTGTGAGGGGATTGGTTCACATGAGGTAGAATACTCTTCAAAAAAAAGTCCAAGATTTTGTTGTAATGAACATCATTTTATAAACATAGCCTAAACGTTGATGATTCCCAATTAGATCCCTTTCCTTTATGTTATCCCAATCTCATCCAATGAATCTTAGTCTAATGAATTCTAAGGGTCTCCTCATAAGAAAATACCTCAATATCTGCGATCGACCTCACGAATGTTCTCCGGACTGTCTTCAATGTAAGTATATCTTGCTTTGATCTACATATCCAGGATAAGATATACCAACATTGGAAGCAATCTAAAGAAGGTTTCAAATGTTGATCCCGAGTACAATAAGGTATTCTTTATGAGGAGAGGTTGAGTAAGTTGGGCCTGTATTCATTGGGGCTTAGAAAAATGATACGCACCTTAATGAAATATGCAAGACTCTTAGCAGGCTTGATAGGGGAGACGTGAAGAGATTGTTTCCCCTTGTGGCAAATTCTGGGACCAGAAAGCTTAATCTCAGTAAGGGGTCACTCATTTAAGAGAGGGATGAAAATTTTGTTTCAGTGCAGTTCTTTACCACAGAGAGCTGTACAGACCGCGTCATTAACTGTATTCAAGGCGGAGATATTAGTAAGTGAAACAAGGGTTATGGGGAAAAGGCAGAAAAGTGGATTATCACATCAGCCAATATCTCATCAAATGGCACAGTAGACTTGATGGGCCAAAAGGCTTATTCTGCTCCCACCTCTTATGGTACACGCAACTCAAGTAATGATCCTTACAGATCCAAATATTTTAAACAGTAATATTTAAAACAAAACAAAAACACATGGGATTAACCCATAATTAAACAGTAAATAATGATTTCTGGGCAACCATCTATAAAATTCCCCCAAACCATGTGTTGCAGAATAAAAATGGAACAAGATAAGGTCTATTCACTAAGGTTTTCAATCATTGCCCCAGCACACTCAGAAGAAATGTTCATCATTAAAAAAAACAGGCAATAAGTAACAAAAATGCTGTACAGTCAAACAATAGTAGAGTTGACAGTTATCATTCACTGTTTCGTCAGTGTATGTACATTTTTTTTCTTTGAATTAGTACATTTGGTAAAATGACAATTACCACATGACAAGGCAAACTTGGCGAGAATAAAAGAAAGTGCAAAACCAATGACTGAGTACAATATCACTGCCTGAAAGACAAAATAAAGAGGTGTTTTTGTTTAAGAAACAGAATGTCTGTAAATTATATCATGAGCTCAGGATTTTATTACAAAGATGAAAAGGTCCTTTACTAATTTAACTTCGGTTGAATTAAATATGACCATAATTTAAAGGCAGGTGGAGGAGTATGGAGTCAGATCATATTACAAGTGCGCTTGATGTATCAAACAGATTTTAAACTATGTTTATGGCATTTGAGTAAATGGGTGCGTGTATGTATGTGTGATGGTAAGCCGTGTCTTTCAGTAGAACAGAGTTAGACTTCGATAAGATGGCATGAGCTCCTCCCCATTTTAACGGAATAATTTAATCTCTTTTGAAACTCTGAACAGCACACTTCCTGAACCACATCTTTGCAATCTAATATGAAAAGTATGTATTCTGACACAAAATTGTTTCAATAAAATGTTTTCACAAGAAAAGAAAAACAAATGGATGAATTAAACTGAATTCCCACAAGATACTACTGGATACCTTTAAAACACAATTTAATTAGTTAAATGAAAGTTAAGACAAGCAATAAGATCATTCAGAGTGCAGTGGTTTGAATAAATTTCATTAAGAAAGATGTTTCTCACATAATACTAATATTTTCAGAGGGGAGAAATGTAATAAGGCAGAGACAATGTTTGTTCAAAATAATTAAAAAGTATTTTAAGAACAATCAAATTTAAAACATTTTAATAACTTTGGAAATCTAGCCTTTTGATTAATTATTTTGATTATGAAATATGAAGGGACGATACCAGCTACTCAACATGTTTGCTTTCCCAAGATTAGACAGAGTGAATTTCATGCATTTTTATTAATCATGCTGGCTTCTGAGAGCAAATAACTTAACGTGGGGGCTGTTCATAAATTTATTAGGCAGAAGGAAATTGAATTTAGAAAATGCCAATAACATTTCCTAAATTTATTGAACAATTTTGATAAAACTTTGGGTGACACCATTGCAGCTGTTATTTAAATAAGTATTTATGACTCCATGTTTTTTCTGGGCTTTAATGTATAATGCTGACCTTCATAGTCACAGCTCAGTGTCAGTTCAGTATGTGGTCCTGTATTCATTCTACGCATGCAGCACAATGTTTAACTCATTAAAAAAGATTTGTGAAGAAATTATAGCATATTTTTCTTTGTGGCACTTGGGAATTAAAATTCTTTACTGTGAATATTTAATTATAGTGATTGCAAAACAGTTCACGTTCAAGAATTATTTTAACCACCCCACAAAGTGCTGAATTAAAACCATATACCCTTCATTGGCTTAGATGGACTATGTATCAATTTATTAAAAATGAATTTATAAAACATGATCAACATTTAAGCAATCCTCATATAAGTTATCAACGTTCGATATTTTTCAAGGAACAGTCACAAAGACTCGAGGAATAGAAAGTGCCCAGTGCTTAGCCACTTTAACACACTTTGAAAGGAACCTGGCTAAATTCCTCAGGAAATAACTGGACAAGCTGAAGTAAGTGTTAACTTGATACTAACTTGATGTAATCAGTTCCTTGCATCCTACGTAGAATGGCCATGGCCACTTTAACAACGGGCGTCTGCCTCATAATATTCTCTTAAGCTACAATTAGATTGTCACATTAGTTTAAAAATAGGGGGAAAGGCAAAATGCCCTGATTCTAGTTTTGGAGGCCATACTTAAAAGTGGGAAATCACAAGAGGAGGTACCTTGTTTAAAGATTACAAGGCATCGCTTGAAAAATTGCGAAGTATTTTTGTAACCATACATCTTACAGAATATTTAAAGAACATTTTGCAATAGAAACTGTCCACTTCAAAATTGCTCCGTTAACATCAGTGATGACAACCACATCAGAAATTAGAATGGTCAGCTTTGACACCTTTTGAATGCCGTGCTGCTTTGCAGCTTCATAAAAATGCAATATTTCTAATGTACTTATACTTTTTAAAAATATCCTTTGTAACCAGGTCCTCATGTATAGGCAGAAAAAAAGGGGTGATGTGGAGCAGAGAAAAGTGTTCTGGACGCACTTGAGGAAAGTGCACTGAAAAGACACGCAATTTAATATGTAAGACTCAGGGATTCATGAGGCAAAAATAAAGGAAACAAACCCTTTGTGTAGACACAAGGCTGAGCTAAATACTTTTCGAAGGACTATTCTGAATATATCTTATTTTAAAATGTTCAGTGAAGCGAGAGTCTCCCAGAGCTGGAAACTGCCATTGAACGGAGATTTTCAATGCTTATGTACACAGGAGAAGTCTGTTTCACTTCAGTTGTTTCAACAACAACCCAAAACTAATCAGGGTTCAAGCCATCCAGTCATATGTTATGCTACAGTTAATATGGCAGACAAATAATTGCACACTTCATTTGTTAAAATAAACAAGCCCTCATTGAATGGAACAGGATGCCTGTAAAAGGTATTGGCAAGGTAAAAATGGCAGAAACAATGATTAAGACAGCATTTAGGTTGAATCTACATACTTCAAATTCCATTAAATTATCTAAAAAATGCTGTTACAGTCAGCGTTTTATATACATTTACATAAAAAACTTGCATTACTTCATGGCCATACAGTTACATACGGCGGGTATGATACACTTGAGAAAATTTACTACAACAAATGAAACCACAATGGTACTTGAGGTTAAAAGTTGACAGAACTTACTACTGACTGTACCAGAACAATATTACAGTAAAATAGCTCAAAAATGGATCCCTAGAATTTTCTACCAGCTTTGTAAAGTATAATCTCATAAAGGAAGTCATTACTAGATAAATAAAATGATAAGTTTAAGATTTTGTTTCCGAACTGTAGTAAACTATTGCCCATTTATAGTCAATGTACATCTGAACCATCTGTGCCTTTCCAGTTACTGTGCAGCAGCATTTGTCATCCATTGTTGATCTCACAGAGATGGAGTGGATTATTCCCGAAAGGCAGCCAGCATGTGTCCATACAGGTAGTGGGAATGGACTGGAAGAGAGAGAGAAAAAAAAATTCTAACTGTTAGTTATATTTTTTCCAAATCAGCTTTTCCCCCTGCCCATCCCAGAAGTACTTGTCTTCTAGAGTGTGCCTGGGGAACTTTTCTACAGAGACCCGCGCTTTGCCCAAGAAGCTATGCTTCATATGCCACATGGACATGTAAATATCAGAAGCTTGTTCAACTGTGGAAGGCCTCACAGCTATCACAGTTCTGTCCACTCTTGGGCTGCATGTCCTCACACACTGCAGTGAGTGAGTCATTGGACAATGAGGACATAAGAACCTGAGCTGTTCTTCTTTTTAAACAACTTTCTTTCCTCATCCCAGGGATACTGAGGTCAGTTGTACTCAATGTTGCTCAAAGATCAGTGGTACATTCTTGTTTTAAGGCAGCAAAATTAATTTGTTTGGCAGCAATGTCATTATCATTTGTGATCTCCATACTGGGGGTCATGAGTTCAAATCTCACCACATTCAGACATAACAAATAAAATCTGCAATTAAAAGCTAGACTCAGTAATGGTGACCAAGAAACAATCATCAGTTGCCATAAAAATCCATTCCGTTTACTCATGTCTTTTGGGTAAGGAAATCTGTCATCCTTACCTGGTTTGGCCTACACGTGACTCCCGACCCACAGCGATGTAATTGTCTCTGAGCTGCCCTCTGCTCTGGCCTAGCAAGCCACTAAGTTCAAGGGCAATGAGGGGTGGGCAATGAATGCTGGCCTTGCCAGTGACACCCACATCTCATGAGAGAATAACAAAAGAAAAAGATGTTTGTTTAAAATAAAATGAAGTAGGGTAGAGTTAGTCCAAGAGGTTTATTAACCTGAAAGTTTACTTTGAAGTCCATAGTATTATCTAGCTCTGAAAGTTCACTTGGTAGTCCATAGCTTATTGGTAGAGTTGCCTTTTCAGAGATCTGCCACACATTCGAAATTCTCAAGTGCTATGAACTATTGTGATTCAAGCAATCCTGTATCCTCAAAGCAACCAGATTTCAAATTTCTTAAACACAAGCTTCCCTTTCTCTTTAAAGTAAAAGAGTGTGATGTGGAAAAATAGTTTCAAAGTACAGTTGTATGGCTCTTCTACTTCCTTGACAGTCAGTCTGATTTTGGTTTTTTGGGACAGTTACGTGATCAGTGTCCAAAATCTCATTTTAACGATTTCAGACAATGGTATCAGCAGAGAGGAGGAGGTGGACAAAAGAATGGGAAAGAGCGTGCAAACCTAACGGTGAGATCTGGAGGAACAGTGCATTCTACTCATGGACAGCTGTTCGGTATAATCCCATAAAATGACTCCTGGGATTCAGCACATTTCCCTACCAAAAGTATTAATGCATTTCCACCACACTAAATAACCCTTGACACTGAAGGAAGACAGGCACTTGGTAAGTTTGCAATCTGAATTATGTTTGAATTACATTTCCTGTTACTTTAGGAAGGATTTATTCTTTACTTCAAATTCTAAATTATACACATACAATATCAAAGAGGTAAATAAACACATTCAAAGCTGGCACAACAAGGTGCAGAGCTGGATGAACACAGCAGGCCAAGCAGCATCATATGATGCTGCTTGGCCTGCTGTG